AATGTAATGGATTACGTTACTAACTACAATTTTTGTCATGTAATTTGGAATCAGTAACGGACTACAATTTGTAAGTAATCTACCCAGCTCTACTGATACTGAAGAACAAAGCAGAAAAGTGTCAATATCTTTTTGTATTACATTTACACAAAGTACATGAAATGCTTTTACTCTGTTAACACAGGTACTCACGCTGAATAGGTGCGTGTGCGTTTGGTTGGCAGTGGACTAAGAGGTCCCCCTGTTTGGGGCGGTTTCCTCTCCAAGACATTACTGCCCTCTCTCAGGAAAGGCAATGAAAGTGAGACAGGTTTATGTGGGCAGTGCGGCTTTCGATCAGATGTAGACGTGCTGTCTGAATCAGCCATTGGTGTGAAGTTCACTGGAGATGAGATGAGGCCTCTGTGGTTTGGAAAAAAAATGGTTTTGAAAAACAAACAACATTTGTATTATATGTGACATATGAAACATTAAACATTTGCTTTGAAATATCCATCCTGCCTGACTTGATCTGCTTTTTCTTAAGAGACGTTTTTGTGTTGTCCTCTCTGCACTACAAACTGGATGCAGCAGCTGCATCAGGACCACATCAAATCTTATTACTTGGGGCGACTGTTTTCCCCCTTCATACTGTTTCCCTTTCATTGTTTTCCAATGCGCCAAGGGTTTCTACCCTGTAGTCTAAGAAAGGCCAAGCATCTGTGTACCGCAGACTCCATATCAGCCTAATCGACAATGACTGTGATTAAACTTGTCATATTATCAACCCGCTCAAAAATGCAGGTTGTTGACAAACGTAACGTTAATCCACAGTATGCGACACCATAATAGTAAAGGCGTATTCGTTCAACGGTAATATATGGACAGGAAAATATAATAGGATAACGATGAAATTCTTACCGTACGGTACGTTATAGTGGATACCAATCTGTCGGTTGATATCTCGCTGCGGAAACAAATATATCTACATAACTACATTAGAATCCAGTATTAAATGCCTGAATACTATCATTCGTGGTCAACATATTCGATTCAACGGACCCCTACGTAGCACACAATAAATGAGGTTACGGGAGGAGAGGGAGGGACACCCCATCAAAATTGAACGCGAGAGACGCGACGCGAGAAAACAAAAACGCTCCAATTATAATCAACGAGACTACAATGCAAGCGACAGAATCCTGACGCCAGACTTCAGTCGACCAATCAGAGCGCCCATAATGTAATACAGGCGCGTTCTAGGTTTGACGCGACGCAATGAAGATGTGGCGCTTGTTATTCGTAATGTTTAAAAAATATTGTAATATTTATTTATTAGTCATTGGTCCTTAAAGACAAATACTTCGTAAAATAAATAGATTAAGAAGATTTTAACCACATATAAGTAGGTAACTATATATATTATGTACCTCACGGGTTTTCAAACTGGGGTCAGGGGACCACCAGGCATCCGGAGATCGTGGGATTTTTAAAAAAAAAAAAAAAAAAACAAAAATTCCTAGTGCCTGAAGTAAAACACTGTGAGTGTGGACATTTCCGTTCACTGAAAACTTCAGTGAATTTGGGTTTAAACTCCTTAAAGATACTTCGTAAAATAAATAGATTAAGAAGATTTTAACCACATATAAGTAGGTAACTATATATATTATGTACCTCGCGGGTTTTCAAACTGGGGTCAGGGGACCACCAGGCATCCGGAGATCGTGGGATTTTTTTTTTTTTTTAATAAATAAACAATAATTCAAACAGTACAGTACTATAGGGAGTAAAAAACAGTCTTACGTAGTAGAAGATAAATATTTTACAAATAATATTATACACATCTCTAATATAATTTTTTTTCACAGTATAAATGTAATCTTTATACATTCAAGAAATATATAGTTGATTGTAAATTTAAGGATGGGAGTCTCTCGTAGAAGAATGATCATATTTGGGGGTCTGACTGCGACATCTAAAAGAATGAAAACCCCTGCTATATTTAACTATATATTATATATTGTGTACCAATATAGTGTGTACAATACAATATAAAAAGGTTGAGGGGAAAAAAGCAAACGTGCTTTTGTACTCAATTTTCTTGAAGTCTAATACAGAAGAAAAGAAGGAGAGAATTATTTGACTTTTATTTTATAACCCACTGTGACCAATCAGCATTCATTTTCTCAAGAACGAAAAAAAGAGCATGAAAATAATGGCATTATAATCAAGAGGATGTGTTTGTGGGGCGTTACAAGCAGCTCAAAACCCATTATTTCTTTCACAGAGCTGCAAATACACCCAGACAGTATTCTTTACATTTACTGCACTGGCTAGCATTCATACAACAGTAAAATTTCATCTGATGAGCATGAGCGTGTTGAGTCAGACAAAGCTAGTCATTTACTGCTTGGCATCTTGAAAGCAGTTGCTATAGTCTGCTGATCAGAGTGACTGACGTCACTGCTTTGACATGGGCATGGCTCTGTTTCAAAGGAGAAAACAAAAATACAACCCTACAAAAAAGGGCACTCAAATATACAGGAAAAATGCTCAAGAGGTTGGAGGTCTGATTACTGATCCATTACTCAATAACTCATCCAAAACACTTAAGATAATGCACATTGGAGATTCTTTGCACGTTTATAAATGAACATTCTGTTTAAAACGTTTATAAACTTGACCTGTGGTGCACTCAGAACCAGACACATTTGATCGTGGTGGTGAGGATGACAAGATCTGCCAAGATTTGAAGAATAGGCATAGACAAGTCACTCTGGCTCACAGTAAGCATAGCTACATGAACAATAACCGGTCAGGTTTCAAGCTTGCCTGAATAATAACAATTATTATGAATGGTTAATAATCTCTGCTAAAAAAAATCATGTGAAGTAAAAGATATTCCATTAATAGAGCTGATTACAGGACAGAAAATTCACAAGCAGCTCTCATTACAGTTCAGTGTAACATTACACAGAGCAGAAATTAATCATCAACAGTTGCCTGAACACATATTTGGATGATTTTATGAATTAAACTCTGGTCTCCCGCTAACAAGCATGCTCCTAGCATCTTTTGTAGGCTAACATTTTTTTTAAATTATCCATTCTGTAATACACACAGACCCAACTTGAAATTTTTAAGCATTACAGTTGCTAAATGTAATACCTTTTATCTGCCCTGCAATGTATTATATAGCTTTGAACAGTATTGACATGACTTGTCTATGCAACACAGTTTTAAAATGTATTTTATGTACTGCGTATACTTCAGTTCATAATTACATGAGTATTTAAACCTTTCATACACATACCAATCCTACTGTTTGAAGAATAACCCCTTCCCCTCCCAAATATGTATATTTGTAGCCAATCACGCTCATTTCTGCAGCTCCTTCATTCTGTTGAGGGCGGAGCCAGCCTGGAACCATTCGCTCTGGGTTTCGTTGAAGGTGTGGTTCAGCTCAATGGTTTCTGAGCTTCCATCACTGTGCTTGATGACGGCCTTGAGGGGCTAACAGAACAATAAATTACAATTATTATGGAAATTACTGAGAATATTAGGAAAGGTTGTTACAAAGCAAACAATTACAGCAGGGTTTCCCAAACTGGGTTCTTAGGGGAACTACAGGGGTAAGGTAAGTTGATTAAAGCTAATTAAAATCACAACTTTAAAAAGTTAAAAATAAAGAACACTTACCAAAAAAAAAAAAAAACCTTGCATTTCATGTGGCCATTGACCATTATACTTGGAATCAATCATGACCATGAACATGTCAAACAAACACATTTCTAAGGCCTCTAATATATCAACATGATCAAAACTTATGTTAATACATTGTCAATCAGAGGGCATGGATAGTTTATACTTTTGTAAGAAAAATACTGTTATAAAGATCTAATTGATTTGCATTACAGGCTACAAAATTTCATCTTTTTGACCATATAAATATCAACAACTGCACCAAACTGAATATTTTTGCTCAGTTTGGGCCTCTGAATAATGAGGTGTTTTTCCCTCCCCGAGTATGAGCTCCTTATTCTATTATATCATGCTTAATAAGCCACAAAAGTCTACTGTATTCATTTACATCTCTCTCTCTCTCTCTATATATATATATATATATCCATCCTAGGCGATACACTGGTAGACACGATTAACCAGTAGAAATTTGTCAAAAGGTGGAGATTTTGGACTATCGTCTCTATCGCGGTTATACGCTCACACAGTAATTTAGGTCTTAAGTGAAAGCAAACACTGGAGAAAGTAAACGTGTAACAGTATATTGGATCCGGGCAGCTCTTAAAGTGACAGCAGTCTAATATTCCTGCTGTCTGTCATTCATGTTAATCAAACAACAAAAGAGAGAAAATCTCTCACTGCTCTTAACTAAATCACTTTTGTAACTTTAATAAGAAGAAATATATATTTAATTTACACAGTGAAGAATATGCAGTGTTTTTATACATTTGATTACTTTATACAATGTATGTAGCATTTATTATTTATTTGTCCTACTGTAGTTTTTTGTCGTATTGCTTGTAATTGGTTTAATATTCTTATTTAATCGCTGACTGTTTACTTGTCTTTTTTTACTTGAAATTTTTTATTTTTTATTTAGGCTAGTATTTGTTTTTTGTGATATTGACACTGGTGACAAAAATTACGAAATCTTTATGGTATCAAAAATGTTGATATCATAAAGACCTTATTCAACGCAAAAACAACTATATCATGATACATTGTGACCCTGGTCATAAGGGTAAATTTTTCAAAATTGAGATTTATACATCACATGAAAGCTGAATAAATAAGCTTTCCATTGGTGTATGGTTTGTTAGGATAGGATAATATTTGGCCGAAATACAATCTGGAAACTGAGGGTGCAAAAAAAATCTAAATATTGAGAAAATCGCATTTAAAGTTGTCCAAATGAATTCTTAGCTATGAGTACTACTAACCAAAAATTAAGTTTTAATATATTTACAGTAGGAAAGTTACAAAATATCTTCATGGAACATGATCTTTACTTAATATCCTAATGATTTTTGGCATAAAAGAAAAATCTATAATTTTGACCCATACAATGTATTTTTGGCTATTGCTACAAATATACCCCAGCGACTTAAGACTGGTTTTGTGCTCCAGGGTCACATATATATTACTCAAACTACACTAGACTACTAAACTAGAATCACGATTTTTTTATTTTTTATATTAGTTTTATATTACATCCCTACTGTGTTATTCCTATGTATGTCTGCACTATCATGTATATCTGCACTATGTTTGTACTTTCTTCTACACTGGAAGCTCCTGTCGTCAAGTCAGATTTCTTGTGTGTGTAAACATACTTGGTAATAAAGCTCTTCTGATTCTGATTTAACAATAGCTCTTACCTTTCCAGGGGCAAAGCTCTTAAGCCCTACAATGGAGATTTTATCATCTGGGCGGATTTTGTCATAATCAGCGGGGTTGGAGAAGGTGAGGGGCAGCAGGCCCTGTTTCTTCAAATTAGTTTCTGTTGACAGACAAGACAGATGAATTAAAATCATCTGCTTAATGATGCTTAGCTTTAGGGGGGGGATATTTCACACTCACCATGGATTCTAGCAAAGCTCTTCACAATAATGGCCCTCCCTCCTAAATGTCTGGGCTCCAGAGCAGCGTGCTCTCTGCTGGAACCCTCACCATAGTTCTCATCTCCCCCAACTACCCATGAAACATTGTGCTTCTGCAAGTGGGATATTAAAGGAAACCGGTATGAATACAAATGCTTTCAGTAGGCAGAAAACATAATGATACAGTGCACAAAAATAAAGAACAGAAAGAGCTAGCTCTTACTTTGTAATAGCGGGCAACATCAGGGACACCACCAAACTCTCCAGTCAGATGGTTGCGAATTTTATTGACAGCATCGTTCTCAGTATTAACTGCACCAATGAGCAGGTTATTGGAAATATTATCAAGGTGGCCACGGAACTTCAGCCAAGGTCCGGCAGCGCTGATGTGGTCGGTGGTGCACTTTCCTTTCACCTGACATTAGAGTTACATTATTCAGAGGTATACTAAAAACCAAAATTTAAACATCCATGACTAAAACTTACCTTGATGAGCACTTGGAGGTCCTCAAGGTCGTTTCCATTCCATCTGTCAAAAGGCTCAAGCAGCTGCAGACGGTTGCTCTGAGGGTTGACATCTACTCTCAGGCCAGACCCATCAGCTGGTGGGTGCTGGTAGGTGTCCTGACCTGGGTCAAAATCACAGGCAGGAAGCTCATCTCCTGTGGGCGGCACCAGTTTAAACTTTTCTCCGTTGGGGGCTGTGAGGAAGTCAGTCTCAGGGTTGAACTTCAGTGTGCCTGCGATGGCAAGGGCTGTGACAATCTACAAGACAACAAATGATATTAAGGAGGAGAGAATAAATACATTTGCAAGAGAGCAAAAAGGGATTTAGCAAAACATTCAAAGAGTGTGGCACATTTAAAAACAGATCAACTGCAAGTACCTCTGGGGAAGTGACAAAAGCATGAGTGGCAGGGTTAGCGTCGTTTCTGGCTGTAAAATTTCTGTTGAATGATGTAACAATTGTGTTCTTTTCTCCCTTCTTAACATCACGTCTGCAAGAAAGATTTGATTGGTTTATGATATGGCTTTATTACATAGTCTTATTACACAGTTCTTTGAACTACTTGATTCTGATTGGTCAATCATGGAATTGAGGTCAAATAGTTTTGTATAAATGTATGACTGTTGTCCCAGGCCTCTAATTTTATTAGTTTTACATCTCTTGTGTGACTGAGCACCATCTCTCTCTTCACATAATACAATTTTATACCCATTTATTTTAGCAAGTACCCCTGTATTGACTGGAAAAATGTAGTCAGTTGCACATTTCAGTACATTTCTGACTGCACGTTTCCTTACAAATTACATTGTTAAGCATTTCATATTTACAAAAAAAAAAACTTGGGGTATGTAAGTCTTTTTTTTTTGTTGCTTTTTTAAAAAGAAATTAATAGTTTTGATCAATTTTATGTATTCTTGATTAATAAAAGTGACACTACAGATATTTATAATGTACAAAAAATCTTTCAAATAAATGCTGTTCTTTTGAACTTTATAAGCACAGAATCAAAAGCATCAAAGAATCTTGAAAAAAATGAATGCATCACAGTTTCTACAATGACCAATACTTTACCTGTCCCACTGACCGATGCAGGGTCCACAGGCGTTAGCCAGGACAACTCCACCGACATCCCTCAACAGTTTTGCCTGCAGGTAAAGAAACACATTCAATTGTTCAATGCAGAACAATCAAGTAATTGGGATCTACACACTGTCAATGAAACTATCCTGAATAATAAAATCCCAGGGCTCTCCAACTCAGACTTACATAGCCATCTCGCTCAATTGTGGCACGAATCTGCTCAGACCCAGGGGTGACTGTGAACTGGGCTTTGCATTTGAGTCCTTTGTCAAGTGCTTGTTTGGCTAAGGAGGCAGCTCTGCCCATGTCCTCATAACTGGAGTTGGTACAGCTTCCAATCAGACCTGTAATGTTCAGGTAAAGGGAGTGTATTAATGAAAGGGAGACATTTTAGTGAATAATGACCATAAAAAGTCTAGAAATGACCATTAAAATGAAGTGGATGCTAAATCACTGACCAACTTTAACGTCCAGGGGCCAGCCATTCTTCTCAGCAACAGAGCCGATGTCTGAAACAGGGTGGGCCAGGTCAGGAGTAAATGGGCCATTGATGTGAGGCTTCAGCTGTAAGGGAGTATTATAAAACATGCTGGAGTGTATTAATCATTGACACTTTATTGTAACTGTAAGATACATTCAGCTAACTTACCCTAATTGACCTGCTCTTACCTCACTTAGATTAATCTCAATTATCTGGTCATAATGACAACCCGAGTCAGGTACCAGCAGATCTTGGTTCTCATTTGCTTGAGCAGCAATTTCTGTGAGGGATAAATGGAAAGAGAGGCCAAACTTTTTTTTTAGCAATGAGCTAAATTATCTATTAATAGGAGTCTTTCTCTGCTGCTTACCTCCACGACCCGTCTTCTCCAAGTATGTCCTCATTCGGTGGTTGTAAGGGAATACAGAAGTTGTAGCTCCAATTTCAGCACCCATATTACAGATGGTGGCCATTCCTTATTAGAAAACCCAAAAACATTTTAATTTTTTATAATGATTGACATAACACATCCATGTTGCCTTGCCCACACACAATTTTAGCCCTGATTTTCCACTTGCTGACTCAAAATTGAAGCCAAACTGGTGAGTTTTTCACATAAGTGATGATCGCTATGTTTGCATTATCTAAGACATGTGATCTGAAAGAAGTGGCAATGCCCGAGAGATATTTAGCAGGTTAAATATCTAAACCTGTCAACTATCCAAGTCCTGTACAGTGAAATGTGTTTTGACTGGAACTGCCATCGCTGACAACAGTTGTGAAGTGTTAAAAGAACAGCAATTCATGAATTTCAGTCATGTAGTGTACAGGGCAGCACATTAGGGAAACTATAAACACTCATATTGGACTTTGTACATGTGAGTTTCACAGATTTACAAGTGATTTCAATCCCATCTGTATTCAACATGGCTGTTTCTCCTCACTCAACCTCTGTAAAAATTACGAAGCAAATTATGTACTGTTTGTCAGCTAACTACCATCCTCTAAGAAATATAATTCCATCTGGACAATAACGTCTGAACACTTCCCATTCATTAAGACCTTCTTTGAATACCGTAACTAAAGCTAAATTTCTCATTGCATGCCCTGTTGCACTATAATTATGCATTTAGACCTTTCATTATGGATGTAAACTTTCAGTTTAAAGTCACAAGTACTGCTAGCATTTAATCTAACCAAAATAAAGGAGGAAAGTTCAATCCCAAAATAGCTCAAAATGGTCACTGTAGTAGCAGCTACAGATATGAACCTTAACTAACCAGTGGTGGACAGTAACGGAGTAGTTTTACTTCGTTACTGTACTTAAGTACATTTTCAAGTATCTGTACTTTACTGGAGTAGTTTTTTTGTGAGTAACTTTTACTTTACTACATTCCAAAGCATAAGATTGTACTTTTTACTTCACTACACTTCGTCCACCACTGTAACTAACTTAATCACATAATTTGTTTACTTCAATGGGTTTCATGATGTTGATATGAATGATGATGTATTAAATGACATGATGATATACTCAAACATCCTTTTAGAAAATTAACCCAGTCCAAATATTGCTTAAGCAAGTTTTCACCTGTGCAGGAGATAGAGTCCACACCAGGGCCGTGGTACTCCACAATGGCACCAGTGCCACCCTTCACTGTCAAAATACCAGCCACTTTAAGGATGACATCCTTTGGTGAGGTCCAGCCAGATAATGTGCCTGTCAATTTCACACCGATGACCTGGAAAAAGCAGATATAACCTATAAACACTTCCATTTTCCTAATTTTAGATAGCAAATGTTAAGTTTAAATGAATACAAACATATCCATAACAAATAAAGTGGCAATAGCAGCTCACGTTTGGACACTTCAGCTCCCAGGGGATTCCTGCCATGACATCAACAGCATCAGCTCCACCAACTCCAATGCAGATGCAGCCCAGACCACCACCATTAGGGGTGTGAGAGTCTGTACCAATCAACATCACTCCAGGGTACGCGTAGTTCTCCAAGATAATCTAAAAAAAAAAAAAAAAAAAAAAAAAAAAAAAAAAAAAAGAGAGAGAGAGTAAAAAAAATCTATATTGTTTTACTAACAAATACACACTGCATACTGTGATTTTAAAAAAAAAAAGAAAAAAATCGAAAAATCGATTTTATTTCCCAATGTAATAAGAGTGCCATCATGAATGAAAATACATATAATTTAAAATTGTTTTTAATGATTTAAATTATATATAAAATAATGTAAAGAAAAATTACTATTGCAATAATTCTACTAATAATATAATTAATATAACAATGTAATATAATATAATATAAAATAACAATGTAATATAATATAACAATGTTAACATTATGCAAACTAATATAATATAATATAATATAATATAATATAAAATAAAACCCATACTGGATGACAAAGTCAAAAGGTTTTTTCTACAGTACCTGATGGATGATCCCAGAGCCTGGTTTCCAAAAGCCAACACCATATTTAGCCCCAGCACTGGCGAGAAAGTTGTAAACCTCTTGATTAATTTCCTGGTTCACAGCGGGGAAAAGGAATGAAATAATGCATCAGTGAAGAATAAAAGTAAGCCTAATCTTAGTCTTGAGACATATCCAGAACAATCATATGCACATGGTAGCCTTTCAACAACATCACTATATAGCATTATTCACCTTTGCCCTCTGTAGATCTTGGGCTCCTCCGGTCTGGGCCTCGATAAGATGGTCACAGTGGATACTTTCGTTCATACAGTACAAACGTCATCTTCAAACTAAATTTTGAGCCTAATCTTAGTCTTGAGACATATCCAGAACAATCATATGCACATGGTAGCCTTTCAACAACATCACTATATAGAATTATTCACCTTTGCCCTCTGTAGATCTTGGGCTCCTCCGGTCTGGGCCTCGATAAGATGGTCACAGTGGATAGTGGATGGCACTGCCACTTTTGGAAGTCCACTGCTGATGAACTGCAGCATGGCCATTTGTGCTGTTGCATCTTGCATAGCAACTCGATCGGGTCTCAGACGCAAGTATGTGCGTCCTCGAACGATTTCCTGTCCAGCCGGGTTATCCAGATGGCCATAGACGATTTTTTCTGACAGAGTGAGTGGCCGGTTGAGTCTGGAGGATGCGATTTCACATGTAAATACTTGGAAAAACTCACAAGACTTATATTTTTAAAAACTAACAAAGTGCAGCAAAAAAGTTAAAAGTATATTTTTTCTGTAAGAATAAAAAATAGCAACTGAGTCACCCTTACAAAAGATAAGGAGGGCAGAAACAAATAAAATTAAGTGTAAAATACTGTAATGCTATCTGACCTTTTGCGCACAATGTCAATATTTGAGCGAAGCTTGTCATAGTTGATGGAAGAGTTTGGCTCAAAGCGGCTCATAGCCACCTTGGCCTTTGCATTGAGAGACGCCGCCACATGAAAGCGTCGGGCACCCTGACCCAAAACAAGCTGAAATAAACAAATAGAGAATCAATACACAAAAAACTGGAGCACAAACTGAGAAATCATATAGTAAACAACTAGATTATAAACAGGGTTCCAACACCTTTGACCCATAATTTCCCATTATTTTTTCAGTTTTTTTTTTTAATAGACACTGCTCTCTTAACGAGGAAATTATATTGGATTAAATTATTTTGAGCACAGCATAAATATAATAATCTATATTTTCTAGAGAGACGTTTATGACTTCAGGGCATTTTTTCCCATGCCTTCTTCAGGTCTGGAAATGAGTTGTAAAATTCCCTAATATTTTAAGGTTTCACATGACAGTGAGAACACTATATTATTAGCGTTCTTTAAATTGTTGTTATACACAGCAATTAAACGTACATGTAGTCAATCTTGTCTACAATATATTGCCATACCTGTGGTGTCTCATGATAAAAACATGACAGTATCAAGGTTATCGGAAGTATTTTTTTTCAACCCCATTTGTTGTGGACACGAAAATGCTGCTGCAATTATTCATACTGCCTACATACACTACCGGTCAAAAGTTTGGGATCAGAACGATTTTTAATGTTTTTTACAGGAGTTTCTTATGCTCATCAAGGCTGCATTTATTTGATCAAAAATACAGGAAAAATTTAATATTGTGAAATATTATTATGATGTAAAATACCGTTTTTCTATTTTAAAATACATTAAAATCTAATTTATTTCTGTGATGCAAAGCTGAATTTTCAGCACCAGTCTTCAGTGTCACATGATCCTTCAGAAATCATTCTAATATGCTGATTTATTATCAGTGCTGGAAACTGTTGTGCTGCTTAATATTTTTTTGGAACCTGTGATACTTTTTTCAGGATTCTTTTATAAATATAATAGCAAAAAATTATATTGTTAGAAAAGATTTATATTTTGAATAAATGCTGTTCTTTTTAACTTTTTATTCATCACAGAATCCTGAAAAAAGTATCGCAGTTTCCCAAAAAATATTTGCCAGCACAACTGTTGCCAACATCGTTAATTCTAATAATCAGCATATTTGAATGATTTCTGAAGGATCATGTGACACTTTATACTGGAGTAATGGCTGATGGAAATTCAGCTTTGCATCACAGAAATTAATTAGATTTTAATGTATATTAAAATAGAAACCATTATTTTGGTAACATTTTGCAAGATTACTGTTTTTTTTCTGTATTTTTGATCAAATAAATGCAGCCTTGATGAGCATAAGGGACTTATTTAAAAAAACATTACAAATCTTACTGATCCCAAACTTTTGAACGGGCATCACAGAAATTAATTAGATTTTAATGTATATTAAAATAGAAACCATTATTTTGGTAACATTTTGCAAGATTACTGTTTTTTTTCTGTATTTTTGATCAAATAAATGCAGCCTTGATGAGCATAAGGGACTTCTTTAATAAACATTACAAGTCTTACTGATCCCAAACTTTTGACCGGTAATGTAGCCTATGTTTTGTAGGCTCATATTAAAAACAACAGGTGTAATTCATATTGTGAAATCACAGCTGCTCACTTGCTCAGTATAAGCAAACCTCAGGTGTGAAGCTACGATAATTCTGAAATACGTATAAATATGCGATAACGTTACAGATAAAATATTAACATTTGGTTTTGTAGATATATCGTTGTCGTGTTAGTAACGCTGTCGTTTAAACGTTACATCGGCAGCACCGTTATCCTCACTGCGCCGTTAACCTTGTGTTCACCTTGCGACTAAAACCTAATAGCCAATCCATGAAAAATCCACAATAGCTGAATCGATAATACAGTTATAAGTATTTCTGCTTTCGTGCTTCGGCTGTCCTGTATCAAACAGCTGGAAATAAAGATTACACGCCATCCTCGCGTCTGCTATGACATCCTTGGCCGCAATGACCTGTGAACACTTCGCGAGCAGATTCCAGCACGGAAACGGTCAGTTCACTCAATCTGTGCACCTCAAACTCTCAAGCACAGCTCTGAATGGCATTCATACACGAATTAGCAAATGCAAACCATGCGTGGTGACAATATAAAATGTAGATTTTCATGTACCTGAAGCCGGGCAACGGTTAAGCAGTAGGTTGCCATTTTGTTCACTGACAAAGATGTGACGCTAGAAGATGACGCGCGGGTATAAGAGCTCATTGTCTTGGAAGGATGTTGAAATGGTTGGATCTAATTGTGTCTAGTTTTAAAAGACCAGCAATTTAAGATGCTCACATTTTTCCCTCATTATTTTTTTTAACACAAAACATGTCAACACACAGGGTGAAAAACATTACTGGTCAATTCTAGTAATAATTTTGTCCAGGTGTTCATGTCTTGCTTTTAGGACCTTGTCTAAAATGACACAAACATTCAATTTCTATTTATGTGCCAACTTGTTATGAAAATGAAAAATACTACTGCATTAATTAATCTTAGTTCATTAAAATGTTAAGTTCAACATTTACTGATACATTTTGTATTTATTAATATTATTTAATGGACCATCAACTAACATTGAGTTGTATTTTTATTAAATAACATTAACAAAGATTAATAAATACCGTAACAAATGCATTGCTCAGTGCAATGTTAGCTAATGGAACCTTAATGTAAAATGTTGCCATACTGAACAATAGAAGTATTCTTCCTATTTTTGATTAGTTTAAGAGACTGTATTAAAGAGACTCGTTACAAAAAGCCTAATATAGAAAGTGTTTTATAGGCCTATATGTTAATTTTTTATTTGCAAAGTCAACATTATACCTAGATTATTTTTCACAGACAAAAATGTGCACTCTGTTTCTAGAGAGTTTATACAATTGCATACGATAAAAAGGTTTCCATACGTTTTCCAGTTTATATCATTTTATTGGCCTTGTTTGGATAAGTTTTCGCCATGAAACACGTGTCTGATGTCTTTAGTAGTACACCTTTGCCTTTCATGTTTTTCTTTTTTTTTATCGCCTGCCCTAAAAATGTAATGTGAGGCACATTTGTCATATATGGTCATGTTGTACTGTGTCCAGTAGGTGGCACTAAGATGCTGAGGAGCCTTCAATCCAAAACATCAGAAAAAGGAAGTTCGGAGGTCATCGTTGGGGCCGTAAAGAACAACAAAAATATAAAATGCACATATATGTAAAAATAAATAAAATATACATATATATTTTTTTTTAAAACTAAAGAAAATACAAAGTACTGTGTAAAATGTGGGTAGTTTCATAAATCTGAAACGCTTTAGAGTTTCTATTGTTTTTATAAACTTGTTTTATGTTGTCTTGTTTGAAAGTGTTTCAAAGTATACTGTGAGATCAGTAGGCGATTACAAATTATTAGGGTTTCTTCTGAGTTATTCGAGTCTTGTGAATAAAAAAAAAACGAATTAAATAATCAAAAGAACATAGTTTTGTTTTTCAGGGGAAAAAATGTGGGTTTTGAAAATAAAGAAAAATGTCTACATTTAGAGTTTTGTTAATTTTTTAGTCATGACCATTATAAAAATCAATCCAAAATTAAATAGAAAATTTAATTTTTCAATATCTTCTTATATGTTGCAAAAAGTACATGTATCACAAACAGTATGAATTCTACTAATGGTTGCATTTAGACCTATGGGATAACATCTATTAAAATGACGTTGTCTTTGACTGCTCACTTTGCTAAGTGCGTTACAAACGTCTTCTTTATGACAAGCATGACTTCTTTATGACTGTTTGCTTGGAAATTGCCCAGTGTCTTGCTAACTGGCTGCGTTCGTTCTTTCATAATGGCAAAACATCACCCAGATTTGATTTTTTTGCAGGAAACAGGCTGGAGTTGGTAAGATTTTCTATATATTAGGTATTAAACTCTAAATCTAGATCTAAGTTTAATACCTATTTGATACATTTGTTTAACAAACACATTTATAGTCATCATTAGTACAGTTAATGGCTTAAACAGATATTTATTCAGAGAAACTCCTGGTTAAGTGTTGTAGCAACAGATGGAAACACACTTAGTCGTTTGTTTACAGTGTCAGCTGTAGTTGTAGGGCAGTGTTGTCCTCATCTATTTTTTACCTTCTGCTGTTTTGTTTTTAGGGTCCAAGTGCTGAAGGTGCTGTAGCCGCTATTGTGTTGGTTTTCTTATTATTCTTCCTCTCCAATGGGAGTCTATGGTAGTCCTATGAACCGTACATAGTAAAATTATGAAATATGGTACACTGATACAGGTGGTCCAGATTAGTAACCTGACCAATGTTGGGGTCCCTACTACATACTCCACAGCGCCACCATCAGTACAAAAATTAACTTTTTAAATGGTTATAACTTTTGGAAAAGAACAGTAGTTCACCAGTTCACCAGATTACTCTCCTCATGGTGATCACAATCCATATTTTACATTAAGACTTTACCCACTGAATAATCAGCATTTTGAAAAGTACAGTATTCTGTTTTTTGCTACTCCTCCTTCAAATTTGTCCAGTTATTACCAAAATTGGAACAGATGATCACTGGCCAGAGCACAGAAATGACTGAACAGAATTTTGATATTCATCATCAAAAATTATGATGACGCAAACGTAACAATATTGAGTATAATTTGGATCAGTGGCTTTATCAGCAGAACTTTATTTTATGTCTACAGATTCCTTGGGTCATGCTGAATCTGTGGATACAGATTTTTCTGGGATTGGATGAACCGCCTTAAAATGTCTTTTAAACAACTGGACATATCGGCACAAAATTTGGTAGGGTTCATAGATTACATGAAGGTACCTGACAAGTTTGAGCATTGCTCCATCTACGGTTCCAGAGATATATGTATGTTTGTTTTGCAAAAATACTTATAACTTTTGAAAACATTGTCCAGAATTTTTCTCTGTTATTACATTCCATCATTTATACTGATTTGAATGATTTGCCATTTATCGTTTTCAAAAATGTTCTTGTCCATTTTAAAGATGTTATCTAAACAAAACCTGGTACAGTTCATCAGCACCACGATCTGAGTACATGCCAAATTTGAGAACAGTGCCACCTACAGGTCATGAGATCCAAATAACGGTCATAACTTTTGAAATGTTTGTCAGAAAATCATGATCTTGGTGACTATTGATTACTTGTAATTTCTTCTGCTTGTTGTGTATGCTGTATGCACTGTACTTTCTATATTTGTTGTATCTTCTGTGCTTGGCCCCAAATTGCTTACAGCTGAATTTGGCATTGGTTTAGTTTGATCAAGTGTAAATTGTGTTAAATCTAATTTTATCTTTCCTTTTTTTGCAGCCATTGGAAGACAGTGTGAAAAATGTAAGTTTTGGATTTTATTGTGTAATTTTGATGCTTTACCAATGTTATATTTAAAACATTTATTTCAAACAATTTTCATTTCTTCTCAGTCATTTAATTTTTTAATATTTCATAAATGTTCATATATGTTCACTTTACAGATGTTTGATTAAAGGAAATAATCACTCTTTTCTATAATAAATATAAATAAATAAATAATAATAAATAAATAAAATATTTTTTTTGACATAGAGAAAATTGATTGTTAACAGTAACATATAAACATTTCAAGACAGAACTCCAAGGCTGTTAAGTAAATAATATGTGTCACAATTGTAGAAGCCACAATTCTGTGGGATCTACTGCTACAATGCTGTGCTCTTTAATGCATTTACTTTACATTTATGAATTTAGCAGACACTTATATCCAAAGTGACTTACAAAAGAGAAACAAAGCAAGTCATCAATAAGCCAACAATATTCATAGTGCACAATGCCAGGTTTATTAGATAACTAGATGGAAGGAAGGAAGCAAGCTAGAAAAGAGAGAGAGAGAGAGAGAGAGAGTGTGTGTGTGTGTGTGAGAATGGACTAGATGCTGAATATTTTAGAGTGACTAT